AATGGTATCGGATTCGTGCGAGAGGGACTCGGATAGCGATATACGGTGAGAGCGATAGAGACCGCCGCTGAAGAGGTTCGATGGTACACTCGAACGTCCTTGGGACGTTAAAGGAATGAGATCAAAAATGTTTACAGATCTTTAATAAATGTACCTCGACGGCTGTGTGTCATGGATATCCTTTACCGGTTATTTTTTAAAGGTTTTGCCTTTCTTCGAGGGTTTTCCTGTTACACTCGATATGTTAAAATGAATCGTGGGCATTAAAAGAGGGGCACTCTTTTAATACTTTATTATTATTTCTTAAGAAAAGTTCATAAAAGCAGGTATTGTATGGGCGATCGGTGATTCGCTATTGAGATATAATATAATTGTTAAATTGGACTTTTTTTTAAAAAAAAGCTTAGCTTTTTTATGTGAAAAGTTGCCAAACGAATAGACGGTTCACCCGATGTTAAGTGAATACCGGCGCCCATGGACATCTGCTACACCCGAGGGTGCAGATGCGTTGACAACCTTTTGAAAATTGGGCTCCGGCCACCTCACTCACCAGACGAAACGCGAAAGTATCATACTTCCACTTTACGCCGGTCTTCTGGGAGGCCGTGGTACTTACCCGGACGAGCCTGCCCATTCGAGCAACAGCCGAGGCTGCTGCGTGGCCCTACCACCGTTAAATTCTAGCTCTTTCTATTAACACAAATCTTAACTACTATTCACTCTTGACTTGCTACTTACTAATAAGAAGAAAGGACGAATTTAGACAGCTTTTGACCACTTTTGCCTATATGTGTATGTATATATATCGAATATTTGTTAACCTAATCACCTCCAATCACTCCAACCACTCAATAAAGAGGAAAGATTTGATTGTTTGTATGTATTGAATAGGCTCCGAAACTACTGAACCGTTTTGAAAAATTCTTTCACTGTTGGGAAGCTACATTATTCCCGCTTGATATATTCTATATTACATTTTCAAAAAAATTAGGGATCCTTACTAAAACTTCAATAATGTAACCCAAAGTGTACAAAAATTACCTAAAATGTTATTTACATCGCGTGCGCTGCGAAAACTATTGATGATAGAATAAAATAATGTACTACGAATTTGCAGAACACATCATTATTTCCAAAAAGTGTCGCGAGAGCATATGTCTAACTATTATAGTTATGCCACAATATGTGTTCTTTTATTTTAAATTTTTGATTGAAATGCCGCCGCTAAAAAAGGCTCTTTATTTGTATCTTGGTATTAATCCTTATAAAAATAAATTACTTCATATTAAAGACTGTTTCAATAGCTTTATATTACTTTTCGAATTATTAAATTCGGACATTCCATTCGAAAGATATCACTTAAAAATGTTAGTATATTGTAATTTAACTATCCAAACAGCTTAGTGACTGACTTAGTGGTTCTTATAATTTTTCAATCACATTTATACTGGCAATTCCTGTTTAACAGCTAGCAAATATTTAAGTACAAAGGCAGTTTAATTTTTTTTATCATTTTAAAATGGCCAAAAGACCAATATCTCATCTTTTTAGAAATAGTTCCCAGGCGAGGGCATAAAAATACGTTGTAATGAGGAATATTTACCGGAAAGTGTAAATCGTCTTACAAGTCGGAGAGAGTCAAGTAGAACGGTTTACAGAGCAAAATAATATAAATATACAAATTCACACTCGGGAATCGAGCTCTGAGCGTTCCCAACGCCTACGAGATGAGAGAGAAAGACAACAAACATCAACGACTAGAGTTCGTAATCGACTTTTAGCTCACAGTAACAGATCAGCATTAATGCATTAAGCTCAACAGTCTTCCGTCCAAATCGGAGCAATTAATAAGATCTGCTGTAAGTGTTCTGCCAAAAAATGGGTCGATGAACCAAAAACCATAAAACGGTATGTGCCGTGCTTCTGGAAAGTTTCTGGAAGGTTCGGCACAACATGAATCATGTTGTTAGCGGTTTTGGCTATATTTTACAACCAGCCGCCTGCCTGACGTCAACCCTCCTTGGGAAACAAATACGAGGATCAAATTTCAACTGTGTAACTATCATGGTTCATGAGATACAGCCTGTTGACAAAGAGACAAGCAGACAGCGGAGTCTTAGTAATAGGGTCCCGTTTTACCCGTTGGGCACGGCATCCTAAAAAGGCCCCAGAGATATAGTGTTGCACGGTAGACACGGCCAACTTAAAAGGGTCTCTGAGTTACACCGATTGTATGATCCATAAAAATAGCCCTTAATAGTCGTAATAGGAGAAGACTGTTCATATTTGACTATTATATATATTCGGCAAGGTACTGTACGTAACAAAACTGTGACATGCATGGAATTTTATGCATTTAGGTTCATGGTTAGAGCTACCTGTTCTAATCCATTGCATTATTACTGGGACTTATTAGGGTTCCGTACCCAAAGGCCAAAATCGCACCCTATTACTAAGACTCCGCTGACTGTCTGTATGTCCGTATGTCTGTCCATATGTCACCAGGCTGTATCTCATGAACCGTGATAGTTAGACAGTGGAAATTTTCACAAACGATGTATTTCTGTTGCCGCTATAACAATAAATACTAAAAAACAAAAACGTATATATAAGCGGGGCTCCCATAAAACATACATGATTTTTTTGTCGTTTTTATAGATAATATTTACAGAAGTAGTGTTTTTGACAGTATGTAAGTGTAATACTTCTATACTTCTATTGAATAAAGGTATTAAAACATGATTTTTTTAATGTGATAGAGTGGCAAACGAGCTGCCGGTTCCTCTGATGTTAAGTGATAACAACTGTGTTACCAACATTAAAGAAGTGGGCACCGGTTACCCCTCTCACCAGACGAAACGTAGAAGTATAACACTTCTATTTTACTCCGGTCTTCTGTGAGGTCGGTACGGAACCCTTCGTGTGCGAATCCGACTCGCACTTGGCCGGTTTTTATTCAATACATTGTCGATATGATGGCAAAAAGATATCAGAAAGATTGAATTACATAATTATGATGTCGTGATCACCAGAGACAGAGGGCCGGTGAAACATTCATCTTAGAGACGCTTTAAATCAAGACATTGGCCCATCAAATAACGGTCAATATCGGTCAACGCGTAATCTGCAACGTCATTTTCATTTACAGGTTCTCAGAGTTATCTGCCTTAAAAAACCAAAGATGCGATGATTTATGTCCGAAGCTATGAGAGACCAGACTTATTTGTCACGTAATTAAAGCGGAACCATTATCTGGTCAGCGGTCTTTCGATCTTCATGACGTAATTTCAAGGGTATTTCATTAAAAGATGAAGAAATTCATAAAATTATTCACCAAAGACGAAATATTCGTAAGGTTTTATGTGTGTGTATGATAACTTTTTGTTAAATACCCGTGCGAAGCCGGGGCGGGCCGCTAGTGTAACATAAATTATTTAAATCTTTTGTGACACACTACATAACTTCGAAATGAAAGTGACACCTATACCAGCACTAACTTCAAAACAAATTACATTTAGTTTTGAGATAGTGCTGACAAGTAGAAGGGTTGTGTGGATAGAATGTGGTCGATAAAAATGGCCCCCAAATATCTTTGGTGTCCATGACCATACCTGCCTCTGGGAAATATTTGCTCTGTAACTCTACCTTGTTTGTTTCTTACGGAGGACAGCGATTTGAACTTTTCAAGTCGAATGTCATTTTTCTTTTGACTAATAAATATTATACGTAATTGGTGGACTGCTGGCGTAGTAGCCGAATTATCGGTCTTCCGATCTTATGGTTCCGGATTCGAATCTCAAAGTGTAACGATTATTTTTCTTGTTTTCCGAAGTCTTATTGGGGCAGTAATTTTGCCTCTATTCTGATCAATGTTTCTTTTTATTTTAAAAGTGTGACACTCGTGGTGTTGTAGCCGTGATTTGGTGGTTGTGATTTTATATGGGGAAGCGTTGGACCCTATTGACTCAACTGTATTCCTTACGGCTCGCTTGGTATATTTTAGTTATTTTCAAAGTATAATGTCTTATGGCATTCTGCTTTGGGGTAACGCGGCCGACATTAATACAATCTTTATCTTACAAAAGAGAGCTATTCGTGCAGTTTACAATCTGGGCCCCAAAGAATCGTTAAGAAACTTGTTTAAAGAGATAAAGGTATTGACTGTTGCTGCTCAATACATTTTTGAAAATGTTTTGTATGTCCATAAAAATAAGGATAAATTTTTAAGACAATAATGTTCATGATATAAATACTAGGAACAAAAATAAATTGATCCTACCCACAAGTAGACTCCGTAAAATAAGTAAATCTTTTATGGGACAATGTATACGTTATTACAACAAAATTCCAGAAAACGTTCAAAATGCATCAATAGCTAAATTTAAAAAAATAGTAAAAAAACGTTTGTGTGTTAAAGGCTACTATAATATTAATGATTATTTAAATGATAACACACTCTGGTAATGAACTGATCGCTCCAGGCTCTTTCAATCGGAGTTCTTATATTGTATTTTAACGAATTTATGTCAAACTGCTTATTTAAAAAAAAAAAGCCCGCTGAGTTTCTTTCGCCGGTTCTTCTCAGTACAGTGGCTTTCTTTTCCGAACCGGTGGTAGTGTCTTGACTATCAATAAGTGAGTGTAATGCTCCTATGTTGAATAAATACATTTGATTTTGATTTTGATTTTTGATTTGATTCCCAACCACAGTGAGTGTGAACCTCCTTCAGAAGTAAGTAATTTCATTACCTTACAATCATAGGTCAATCTTAATTGACTGAACGATTAAGTAATAAAATAAAGAGGTATAAATGTCATAAACTAAAAATTAAATTGAAGCCAGTTTTAATTCAACAAAGTAATTAAAATACTCCGCAATAGGCATATCTTCGACAGATTGTCCCACAATGGAGTGTCGCGCCTCCAGCCCCCGACCCCCAGGGCCGCCGCGCCGCGTCACGCAAAACCATCAATTTCACCGGTTATTGGTTCGATATTTAATTGCCGAGGGCGCAGTTAGTGCCGTGTTTATTAATCTCGTTCGCGGCCTCAATTGTTCCCCAGAAACGAGGGTTGACAGGCGCGCCGGAGTGGGCTCGTGGCCAATGGCACCCGTTCGATGCCAGGCTCGGATTTAAACTCACCTGATTGTGAGCGAAGACTGAGGATCATCAAAACTACAATACCAGACTTGTTTGCTAGTCTCGTGAAGAATCTCCCATCGTATCACCGCGGTAATACCGCTAAAAGAAAATTGTGTCGAAGGGCTCTTTTTGTGATATCAATATTATGAGAAATGTGGGTAAGAATAGTGGCTGCAGAACATAGATCGATTAAAGCCCCATCAAAAAAACTTATCATGATCCAAAATATGTATTCTTGAAGTAATATAAGTAAGCGAGCATGACTAGATCAAACAGAGACCTGAGTATAATTAAGTCTCATCGAACAAAGCCGCTGTTAGACTGTACTCATCTGGGCGTCAGATCTCATTCTCATCCTTTTGGAAAATATTTCAGCATTTCCTACATGTAGTTCAGTCCATATAAGTGTATATTTAATTATGTAATTAATAGACTGGTAAAGGCATAAGTAATATACGTGATTATAAATCTTATATTTAGTTTTAGTTCTATTTCATAGTAAGTGAAAATTAAAAATGTTGGATCACAAAACACGTAAAAAAACGTAAATTCAGCCTGTATGAGAGGAGGAAAATGGCAATTGATGGACGACAGACGATCTAAGCTTGAAGCCGAGTCAGAAAATAATTACATGGAAAACACAAAAAGCTTACACATTTGTAATCCTTGAAGGTAAATTAAAAATAGCAATAGAATAGTTGTATCACAAGTACTGCTATGATTTATAAAAGAGTTTCCCAAGAAAGACCTATACAGAAAGTCACCGAGTGGTGTAAAAGAGCGCGCGGATCCGAAACGCCGTGGCCCGTGGTACCCGCGGCGCGACTCTGCCGCCCGCATCTTCGGAGGCGGCGCAATAATACAGTGTAGCCGCGTGCCAACACGACTGCCAATATCTGGCCGCAGATGAGGCCCCCGGCACAGGAGGCGGCGGGGGCGGAAAGCAATAGGACACAATTGCACCTAGGTAGCCAGTGAAAACACTAGAATCAATTTTATCAACGTTATAAGTTTGACGGTCGAGCTATGAAATATATTACACTGATGAAAAGTTATATTTTCTATTACGCCAAAATCTAACTGCAAATAAATATATCTTACTTTGTTACAGAGATAAAATCAAAATCAAAACAAGAGCCAAACTATTTACGAACATAGAATAAGACATTAATGGTTCAAATTGTGTTCCAAACAATCGTACAGACTAGAGATTATCATCAAAAAAATTCAAAGATTGAAACTGCATTAGTTACGAGTAATGTTCACAACATCTAAGGAGTTGCACTAATATAGAAAACTTTAAGAGCCTCCCTCCACTACCAGACGAAAATCGATGCTTATTAATGGAAAAATCTATTAGTCTCTGTGACTAAGTTACACAATTTTGATTTTTTGCTTTAAAATGTTTTATTGCACAAAGACAAATGAAAAAAGAAACGCATGTTCTATTAAAAGAATATATATAATTGAAATATTTCCTTGGACCAAGCACCATTCGGGTGCGAAGGAATGCGTTCACATAAGTACAATTTATGCCGCGGGCGAAGGAGTATTATCCACAATATTGCTTCACATTGCCCTTTATATGACACATTTTATGTTCGCCCACGGACGGGGGATATTGAAGCAAGGAACTGCCTATACGCACTATACGTAAGAAATATATACTCACGTTGCATTTAGCGATCGGATGTCCACAATAACTTGGGGGTTTTACATACGGTGCCGACTTTTAAGAAGATGAAAATTGCTAAGCCATTGGCTTCGACCTCTCGGATGGTGGGTTCGATTCCCACACGGGACATGTATTTTTGTATGTGTGTCACATTTGTGTGACCCAAATGTGATTTCTATGGATCTGGGCTATTCTTTCCAAGCACGATTGACGACAGACAGACAGCCGATCGTTTAAAAACCGAGCGAATAACATTAATACGAGTAACAACGTAATCCACAAGTTAAGGCCCCACATACAGTGGATAACTTACTTACCATACAAATGTACGAGTGATGTTTAGCACGTTATGATATCACGGAAAAATACTGACAATTTTTTCTGAACTCCCAATCAACACGAAGGGCAATGGCAGTTTATGATATGACTTCCTAATCCATTACCAGAAACGTATAATACTAGGCGAAATTTTTTGCAGAATGCAATGACAATTAGCAAGTTTCGCATTAAGTTGGCCACAGCAATTAACTATCGTGTGTAACCAAGCGAGAGAACTTACTCTTTGAAGTTCGCCGCTTTCGAGACGCGAGCGAACTTTCGCGACGGACGAGCGATGCGACGGAAACTTAATTAAGCATCGCATCTAATGAAGTTTCAAATGAGTTTCTTTCACTAGTATAATAAACTAGTTGCCCCAGAGAGAATTTTTTGCACAGTACCTGTCACCGAATTTATTTATTGGATTACCAACGCAAGTTATGGTCGCTATACTCTAAATTATAGAGGCTTGAGATACTACCTATAACTAACTGTTCTTACAATTATAGGTAACCACGTGGTAATGTGAATGGTAGTATAATAATGTGCAAATAAGTATTTCAAAATAAAAGGTATCTAGGCTCTGCCAAAGTATGAAGCCTGTCGATTTGTAACAGCGTGGTTCTAATGCAAATAAACATCAATGGAATGTTTTTAATTCGCTTCACTGTGGTAGGTTTACTTAGATGTTTTTTTTAATGTGAGAAGGTGGCAAATTAGCCGCCGCCCATGTACATTTTTAACACCCATAGGGTTGCAGATGCATTGCCATCTTTTCATAAAGTGGGCCACGGTTACCTCGCTTACCAAACGCAGAAATATATGACTTCCCCTTCACGCTGGTCTTCTGTGAGCTCCTGGTACTCCTCCGGACGGATTTGCCCATTCGTGCAACAGCGGAGACTGTTGCGTGGGTGACTCTACCATTGTTAGATGTTTTCAGTAGCGCTGCATGAAGATTCCGCAAGCGAGGCAGCAGATAAGTGGGAAGGCGCGCTGCTCGACGATAAAAGAGTTCCGTGTCGGCGTTATTACATTATATTGCGGGTAGAGGCCCCGGGGGCGAGGACCGGGTGTGAAAGAACTACATTTGTTTTCTTTTATGCGGCGGGGGTGTGCTGAAGGGGCGTGGGGTGTGCGCTGCTCCGAGGGGCGTACAATGGCAATAAACGTCTGACGCCGTGAAAAGAGAAACAACACACAGCACACAGAGAAATGAATACTAATGACTGCGCCAATGGAAGTGGGCTCTTTGAGGCAGGGCTCAGTCCCGCGTCACGCGGATCGCTCCCACTCAATATATTTCTAGAATCAAGTATTTGGACGACCACACGGTCAGCAGTTACGAATGTGATGTTGGTTCGATCTCGGAACGTGCAAAAAATTTGCACTTTGATAACACTTTTTTATGCACTAGCGGGTGAAACGGGACCCTATTACTAAGACTCCGTTGTCTGTCTGTCTGTCAGTCTGTCATCAGTTTGTATCTCATGAACCGTGACAGTTAGACAGTTGCCGCTCTAACAACAAATACTAAAAATATTTAAGTGGGGCACCCATACAACAGACACGATTTTTTGCCGTTTGTATAGATAATGGTACGGACCGCTTGGTGCTCGAGTTCGACTCACACTTGGCCGGTTTTTTAAAACGAAATTTATTTACAATTAAAAAAGAAAATGGACTGGCTTCTTAAAGAAAGTGAAACTTTTATACGGGGGTGTGATACTCAGTCCTATAACATATAACAGAAACAGTTGTGCGTACATCGCGGTGATTCGAGGCGAGGCGGCGCTCGCGTGGTTATGCCTCCGCCGCGGCTAAACTCCATTCGTGTCGCAAAGTGAACTCGGCGGTTAACTCGACTTGAACACGTTCAAAAGCTCAAAACAGCCGAAAAGCGAAAGGAAATGAGAGAAAAAAGAAAGCACGTCTGCGCGTTTCTCACTACGGCCCTTTCTCTTAATTAATTCAGCGTGCCCAGCCATTAGTCGGCTAAATGTATTACAGTCTACACTTGTGAATTAACCGTCAGTTAGAGGGGGCTGAATGGAAGGTAACGCGCATTAATTACTCGCCGAGCACTGGGAACTGTATCCACGCGGGGCCGATGCGAGGCGCACGACACGATCTAGTCACGACACGACCCCATCACGACACGACATGACAGCATACATAATGACTGTGACGCGTTGCTAGAAACTGAATATGTTGGCTGTACCAAACGTGCCAGTTGATGCCGCCTACACGATATCTGATATGTGTGTATGCCTGTTCTTGAGAATTGCAACAAAAACACACAATTCACATTTGGACAACACGCCACAAAGCATGCTAAGGCGGTGTTTCAGTCTAACACAAAAGTCTTTAAGAAAACTTGCAGTATTTTTCATTTTATGGTGAACAAATTCTCCGACCTCCTCTCTGATATTCTCCAACATATAATATCTAGTAAATAATATAATAATAAAATTTTTTTGCTAATTAAATTCATCTATATCAAATTTCAACAAACCATTAGTCAAAAGCTATATCTGCCTATAATTTTACCAACGGTCACTTTTTCAAAGCATTCATATTCGCGTCCAGTGCTATGTCTACGTTAGTAGAGCCATAAGTATTTGAAACGTAACAAATATTACTAAATTAAAATCGAAAGTCAAAAACGCAATCAAATATATTATATCCCTACACACCAAAGTAACTACAAATTTTCAGATAAGATAAACTTTAGTCAATCTTCGTGCATTTTGCGCACATATTTGGGGCGATAATTCTGTGAGCCAGTCGTTCGGGAGGTCGTCACGCGGTCGTGTCGTTGCCGCGTGGTGCGGCTCCGAGGCGACTCCGAGGCGGCTCCGAGGCGGCTCCGAGGCGCTTTGGCGGCGACTGCGCCTCTAGGTAGGTGCTCTCCACCAGCGCCTGTGCGCTACTATTTCTTACCCCTTTGTGCCTCCGCCGTAATAAGCGGCGTTTTGTTCGTACCGAAACTCTCCTTATGAATGCAGAGGCTTGTATTCAAAGAAATTGCATTTTGTTCTCAATCTCACACATATCACAATCTCACAAATATCGTTGATGATTCTATATACACACAAATCCCCTTTTTTATGTCCAAAAGCAATAGGCGCCAATTGCAAGTTTCTTTTTTAATAGAAAGCGTAAAAGTTCACTAAATTTGAAACCATTAATTAGCATACACGTATGAAAGCATCAAGATGAGAAATGCAGAACCTTGGTAAGCTCAGAGAAAAGTGAATGAAGGTTTTTCAGGCATGTTATGCCGTGTCATACAACACCAGAAGTTATTTTTATTTCAGAGGGATGCAAAAGGAGTGGTTCCCTGATGTAAGAGTTCCGTGAACAACACAACACTCACAACACCGGAGACGTTGAAGGCGTGTTGATCACTGAGATTGTAGGTGTTCTGTAGCTACCTTAGTCAACGGACGTAACACTATATAGCTTATAAGACTTCCGTGAGATCGCAGTATACCTGCAGTCGAACTGTTCTTTAAGCTGTCGCTGCCCTATCTGTTATCTGTTAATGTTGTTTAAACACGTAAACATTTACGCTGATTGTAGCTCGCAGCAACAAACAGATTTCACCCTACCGAACAACATGATCCAGCATCAATTGTTTACAGAGCCTCTAGAAATTAACCACTCGGTAGGCTGAATAAACGGCTCGCAATTAGACCGCACTCGACGCGGTGACTGTGAAGCATTCAATTAGGCGCCGTTTCTTTAAAAAGGGGGTAAAAGTGCCAAATCGAAAGTTAGAGTCGAATTTCCGGATTGACGTTTCGCGCGACCAACATAGCGAGCTGTTCTATTGATTTCTCAAATTATGCAACCGAGTAATCGTCGTCCTAATATTTACGAAGCTTGGTTTTATCCACGTATCCCGTTTTTATTAGGGCATTTTGTCACAGCCATCACAATATGTTTGAATATATTGTCCTCTCTACAAGAATACGATTTCGCTCCTTACAAAAGACTATATCACGTATTCACCAAGGTTTAGGCATTCCAACACCGAATTAGTTAATATGTGGCAATTTTAAAAATTGTGATATTGATTATCATAATTTGATGCCACATATTCATCTGGCTTCAACATGCAAATGTGAATTTGATATTAAATTCTATAATAAACTATTTCCATTAAAACATTAAAATTATTATGCGGATTATTATTATTAGTAAAATTATTTATTGTCAGTATTTATAACAAATAGTCATTGTTATTATAAATTATTCTTTCTAAGAGCCAACTCGTTATTTTTTTCTTAAATGAACCAACGTGCTATCGTTTCATTTCTAATGGTAATTTATTATACAGAAATATGGCCATAAGTAAGCATTCTTTGTATATATCTTCAGATTACATCTCGTGCGAAGAAATATAATTCCCAAACGTACTAACAGTGGCTTACAGCTGTCGAGCGAGAGGTTTCGGTCCGGAAATGGTATTAAAACCAAAATAAACGCGACAAATCCGTAAACATAGTTTCATTTAGTAATGTGTAATCGGTTAAATACACGAAATTATTAAGTACGTAGTAAGTTAAAATAACATCCCGTGGGACTAGCGGCAGTATTTCGTATTCTTCGAATTGAATTTGGCCGACAGACACAGGTACTAATTTTACGTCCCTGTGTCTGTCGCTTATAAATGAAACTAAAAATAAACGTGTAAAAATTAGTTTCATTTATTAGGTACTAAGAGTTAAACTGTTTACATCGCGCCTAGCTGTCGCAGCTTATTTGGATTGAAGGGATCGCGGATTGCTAAAGTTCCTCCGGGTCCGAAATCCGGGTGGTTTGTTCGGGCGTTGGGCGGCGGGGCAGGAGGCGACGAGTGGCAACACTGCACTTTTGTGGCCTTAATTGGCCTTCTCGTAGGCTCCTCTCCGCTGGCGCCATTGTCTACGTTAATGGGCGCGACCGTTCGACGCTGAGGGGCGATTGCACCACAATTCAAATATACACGGCCCCATAAGGCGACACTCGACTTTTAATTACAATCGCTTTAAAATACAGGTAACGGCCCTAATTGGAGGCCTTAGAGCAATAGTTTCACACAGCAATATCGTATTTGTATCAGTTCCCGTCGGTAAAACTGCGATTTCCATTAAAAATGTTAAAAATGTTAATGTTAAAAATAATAAATTTATGGTGGTAGGGCCACGCAGCAGCCTTGGCTGTTGCACGAATGGGCAGGCTCATCCGGGTAAGGACCACGACCTCACAGGCGTGAAGTGGTAGTATAATACTTTCGCGTTTCGTCTTGTGAGTAAGGTGGCCGTAGCCCAATTTTCAAAAGGTTGTCAACGCATCTGTAACCCTCGGGTGTGGCAGATGTCTATGGGCGGCGGTATTCACTTAACATCAGGTGAACCGTTAATCAGGTTAACCGCTCGTTTGACAACTTTTCGCATAAAAAAAAACATCGATAAATTAACACGTTCTACATTTTATTAAGAGTATTGACTTAGTACGAGTAGACAGCTGGAATATCTTGAAAACTAATCTTATAATAATATCTAAACTTCCAATTGAATGTTCGAATCAATAAAGTGCAAGTTAAATAAATGGAACACTTTAAAAGAGGCGACTCTGACATTTTAAAACGAATTAAAGCTATTGAGCTAAGGGTTAATTGAATTTCTACCCTTTTATCACCTATACATGTCTTTTTTCCGATCCTTGATGTTTTTACACGCATATTATCAAATTTCTGGAACGATATTTTTAAAGTTAAATTTAATGTGTATTTTAACTGTTATTAACATGTCTCTTGAAGTCTTTATAGTCCGTACATAAAGTCACTGTTTCATCTGAGTACTTGTCATTTGTTATTACCGTAAAGGTCTCTTAAAATTTTTATAGTATTTAAAAAACTTCACTGTCGTATCTTCTTCTTCTTCTTTTCGAATCAAAGCTATTTAGATCCCGATCGACCAGTACTTTCTGTCTTAAATTACAGTCTTAACTGAAATTAAAACCTGAAATCGAACCTCGTATTATCTTGCAACCTTCATGAGGTAGCGCGTGTTTGGGGATGGAGTACCAACCTGGCGCGTCGTCTGGCAGCTCCGGGTAGTGGTGAGGCACGGCTGAGGGCTGGCCCCCGTACAGCAGGTTCAGCTCCCGAGCCTCGTTCTCCTCCTGGGCCTGTTGCCGACGCAACGCGACCTGTCCATTCCACTTATTTTAGCACATGCTCTAACGACTCGCCTCGTTGATGCAACTTTAGCAACCTACAGTAATAATAGTAATGTACCATGTCATGACTTATAGTTAGGAAAAGCTTTTCCGAATGGGTATATCACCCCGGCCGCGCCGCTAACTCTTCAATCTCAAGACCAGTCGGACGTCTACTATATCCATTCCAGCTCTAAGTTATTGTAATTGAGGTATTTTGTGAGTATTATATTTTAGGTTAATAGAATAGTTTTTTTAAAACCTATAAGAGTGCGCTCACCTGCGCCGCCATGACCCGCTGCCGCTCCGCAATGAGGGTGCACTTGGCGCAGACGCAGTCCCGCCACCGGCAGTAGCGCTTGTGGCCCTTCAGGGCGGACACCACGCCGTGGTTGCGGCACCGGGCGCACTTCGGCGTACGCTGCAACAGACCGTTCGCATGTACACATGTACACATGTACACATTTACACATGTCCCCATGCGCTAGAGTTCCAACTTCAAAGACTCAAGATCAACAGTTAGAGTTTATCCACCAACGGTGTGCTGCGAAAGCGATTAGCGATAAAACAAGTTATAAGCAATTAAGATATGATGACTCCGTGGTGCAGTTGCAAAGGTTGGGGGTTCGATTCCCGCACGGGACTACTATTTGTGTGACGCACAGATAGTTGTTTCGAATCAAGGTTTGTCCGCGTGAAATTTATGTTCGTAAAACGTCCTAAAGGGCATGTTTTAAAAAAGATATACTGTTGGCGATTAAACTATTTTCAAACATTTATAATACTAGCTTAGAATTAGAATACTGGTGATTAATTCAGTATACTCGCGTAACCTAAGTTATAACCTAAGCCGTCGAGCAGCAAAAATAAAATTTTTGATTACTTATGTATTGATTTGCTAGGCGGTTAAAATAAACCTGTATATGCCAAAGAAATAATCAAAAAATCGATTCGTAGATATGTAAACTTTGATAATGCACAGTGGAGAGAATTGGAAAAAAATGCGTTGCCAACCTTAAGGGTGTATGGTGTCTCTAGACACAACTGCCACAGGTGCCGCAACCGAAAGAGCCCCCGATACTTAGGTCATGTATGCGGCAACGAAATCTGCTGCAAGTCTCACACCGCTCATCGAAAGCTCATCTTATCCATTCATTCCAACACAATCATCTAGAACGTCCTCTAGCGACTTATCATTAACATTTATGTTCCAAGTCAAATTATATATATTAGTTCCTCGTCCATATCACCAACATTTATTCGTATACAAAAGTTATTTAAAGCATTAAAATAAGTAGTTTATAAGATATAATTAAGCTCCACATTTGCTTTTTACTATTATACAAAAGTCGCCTTAGTAATGATTTTTTGATATTTAATTTAATAAAGTAATAACATCGTCAGACGCTAAACGTATCGCATTACAGTTACACCGTTTGTAATATAACAAAGGTGCATGTTACACCGCGTTATTACAATGTTGCATTACAATGTTGCCGCTCGTAATTGGTGTGTAATTGATTACAGAGTGTCAGCAAAAGGGGAACCTATTGCGGAAGAGGCGGACGCCGATCTTCCCCTAACGATAGCTCGCTAACACAAAATTACATATAGGGTATGTTACATTACACCACTTTACAAACATGTTTGGAGAACAAACAAACGGGTGTTAAGCAAACCCAATGTCCCAGATTTGATAAACAGCACACATCCGTCTATAGCCTATTTTATAAAGACAATCGGTTAGAATGCGTTTAGCAAAAGTTACATTTTCTTGAAATGTTATAGGACTTATTTGAAAGAAGGAAGACTATGCTTTTCCAAAAGACCATCAACGCATCTGCAACTCCTTAGGAGTGCGAGTGTCCTCAGGCTTCAACGATCGATCACCATCAAGTGGAAACTGGCTCATGGCTTTGAATATGCAATACTTTTAAAATACCTTCAAGGGAAAATATAATTCACCGAAAATTTGTTTTGCCATTTCATAATACTTTCTTCGACACTTATGGTTAGCCATTCATAATGCTCAAAACAACAACGAGGTATTCATCCTCTGACAAGCCGTTTCTGTCTTTAAAAAAGTTCCTATGGCCCAAGTTGTGTCTATTTACTCCGTTAACACTCCGTATAGCCTGCTTACTAATGACTGACTCTACATTGACAAAAGACAAATTAAAATAACCGACTGAAATAGGTGTTGTTAATATTGGCGGCAGTAATCACTGAACACCAGATGAGGCAAAAAGCAAATGTTTCTTTAATACTGCCATCGTGGTACATAAAATTTTACTAAATACTACTAAATAAAGTTTATATGAGCTGTGGTACTTGAGTCTATAGACTCCAGTTACCAAGATCTTCAATTACACACGCTACCGATGGAACCAGTTCACTTCATAAGTAGTGTTGGCATAAAACCTTTGCTTGTCTCATGAATAAATAGTTCTGTAGACATATAAGACACTAATTTATAAACTCCAAATGTCCGAAGCGAATGCAACATGAAAGATTTCAGCCAACCTTGAAATACGACTGAAGAAAGTTTACATGACTCGCGATGAAATCAGTTCCAAGATTAGAAACGGGAATGGCAGTCTGATCGATTCGTTGGGTCTTTCGTGAAGCAGAATCAGGTATCGACATATTTGTTGCAGGAAGATGTTTAATGAGGCTATGTCGAAAGTGCACTGTTCCTGTTGAATAGTTGGATAGGCGTAGAACATAATTCTAGGCGGAACATTAAAGCCCGCTCTTGATTCATGGAATAACAATACACGTGAGCGAAGTCGCGGGCAACATCTAGTCATGCAATGAAGATCGATTGAGGAATTCGCACTGCATTATTTATCTTTCTGTCCACACTAAATCGTACCTAATCACATCATTACGTTCATCTACACTTTTTATACGCATAAAAAATTTTATAGTCAAAAAGATTGATATAGACCAAAGAACACGCCGTTGCCGGTTTCTAACACGAATCTTTCACATCTTGCACATCTGTGTACCAATACGTGTCGGTCAAGTGATCCCATCTACCAATATTTTAGAATTACCACCACAGAATTCTTCTTAAGATAATCACTAACAACTTGTGATAATTGTCAATCAAGCGATACAGCAGACATCGTCTCGCCCGATTGACGTTCATAAGAAGACTTCAAAACACTGTGGATAATATTTCAATGGTCCAATGCAGTAATGACCGGTTGCGAAACTGACTTTAATGTTTGCTCTCCTTTTCCGTGGAACAATGATCCGCTTTATGTGTGTTTTATTGTACTCCATTTCTCAAGAATTGAACAGTTTAAATGAATGTTAGTTGGCAGAGAGCGCTGGAAGCGAGCGGGTTGTGCTTATTTTATGTGAGAAGGTGCCAAACGAGCTGACAGTTCAAATGATTGTAAGCAGTAATACCAATTAAAATGTGCAACACACGTAAAGACTGCAACCTTGCAGATGCGTTGCTAACCTTTCAAAATGTCGGCCCCGCTTACCGCACTCGCCAGAAGAATCTCGGAACTACAATAGTTCTGTTACTCGGGCCGTGATACTTGCCCGAACGAGCCTACCCATTCATGGACTTGGTTCGTGGATTCCTACTCTTCGCCGGTCTTCTGGAAGGCAGTGGTACTTCCTATATACAATCAGCCTGTACAAGCAACGGAAAATCAGGGTTACGAGGCCGTCCATAATAACGTGTGCGTAGAATCAAAATCTTGGGTTGGCGATGCTTAAAATTGCAAAGGACGAATCAAATTTCCACTAAAATGAAAATACCTGTTTTAATAGACACACAAATACTGACTTAATCGCCGTCGGCTTCAGCCTTAGAATAATTTCCGTTAAGAAATATATAACAAAACACATTTTCTGAATTAACTAATCAACTTGAATAATTTAAAGTGTAACAATCGCTTGAAATGATTTGTGTAATGTGAATAATAATAAACAAATATAAAGGTTCAATAAAAAAGGACCTGCGATCCTAATTAAACATCTGCATATATATTTATTTATTAAGCAATCAAAGTAACACTTCAGTAATTGGGATATAGCTAGAGACAGACAAGAAGTTAAATTAAGTTATGCCTGACGAAGTTAAGAATTCAAAACAACTAACACCGATCAGTTTCAGATCCTATCTACATAATGGAACGTTAAATACTTAATACTTAAGCGTTTTCGGATTATTTATTATGTATTTTCTCGCATTTAATTTCTTCTTAAATTCCCGTGGTTTCTAACAGTTTACAATATCCATGATGACGGGACACATCTAGGCGTTAATATCCTAATTAGCCTGAGTCTAATTGCTAATTTTGATAAAATTTGTGCAGAGCACTATGTATGACTTAGGTACTGCTGTTAATATCGTTCTATAATCGTTCCAACCGTGGTAGAGCCAAGTTCACTGTTGCACAAATGGGCAGAAAACTGACGCGGAGTAGAAGTTTTACACTTTTTAGATTTCCCGCAATTTTTGTGATTGACATTTAAAATCTTGAATGTCACTTTAGCTCTATTACCCGCAACTTGCTCTCAAAACCAAAGGTTAACTGAAAGAAAATGATTTGGCAAATTTAGCATTGAGTTTGCCTTTGTACAAACTTTTTGGTACAATAAAGAATTTTCAATCAATCAATAAAATAGTGGAATTCATGAGCTAATTAAGTGAATTAACTTATGCATTTTTTAAAGGTTTTTTACGATGGCCGAATGACTCTATTCTAAAAGTTCTAGGGTTTGTGAATAATTGTGGTTGTAATAGCTTTATAAATTAACTCTTTACAAGTTTAAAGTTTAATGCAAATCCGACTTCAAATACTATTATTAACATTAATCTTTTTCGAATTAAGCTTTGATAATAACTTACAATATAGTTTGGACTTAACAGTATGCTTCTATTAATATTTGCTTTTGTTTATAATTCTTTAGATTAAGTAGACTTGGTGAATAAATAAATCTACGCAGAATACTATACTTTTATCACATAAAACAAAATTATGAATTTAAATAACAGTAGTAAATGGTAGCTACTTAATGATTTCTTATATATAAACATGAAAAACGAAAGTAAGATAGGTCGCAAAATTGTATTTATGATGTTAGAGCTATGACATTTGGGTTATTTAACGCAAAGGCCAAATAAACAATGTTTTCAAGAAATAACTACAATTAAGATTGGTTCTACGATCGCGAATACTTGTAATAATGTCGTAAATATATGATTTCCAAAAAATAGTTAACAATACATAAAAGAGGCAAACGTTTACTTAGATATCACAGTAAAAGTGACAATGGACATTAGAGTACTATCAAATTTGCCCTTACACTTGAGAAGGTGAAATCGCCAACCTGATATCTCTCCGAGGCCCTGAGGAAGAAGGGCGGCAACGCCGCGAGCACCGGGTGCTGCACCAGCTGCGACACGTCCACGCCGTTCGGCAGAGACATCTCCATCGCTCACACCCTCGCTCTCCACACCGACTCGGCGTTGCAACAACTAGAGCTGCCAGTCAGACGCACTCCCCAACTATTTATATTTCAACAACATCGCACCCGAGCGTCCAAGGTCGAACGATTTCAAATTAAAACAACGAGAGGAGTCTTCCAAAGTCAATTCGAAAATCGAACGGCCGATTATTCCGCGCGGAACTCGGAGCGGTCGCGTGAAATTCGAACAAGGAACGCGCGGAACGCAACAGTTAACACCGCTCCGCTTCGCGTTGTTGCCAACACTGTTGCTTCATTGCCGACACTGACAGATGTGGGTGCGCGAGCGGGACGGCGCGAGCCGCGACATGTATACAGTATACACGAACTATCGGCGTCCCTTTCGCACTGTAGTCTTAACTGTATTTGTATCATCCGGTTATATAAAATGTAGTCAGATGAGGAGTGGAGCGGACCAATGGGGGGCGAGAGTTTCCCGCCTCCGGCGCGCCATTGGCGCTCCGGCCGGATTGAATAAAGGTGACTTTTTCGAGAACGAGTTTCTGTATTACAAAGCGCTATTGAATGAGGCACAAAAACACACAATTATGTTTGTTGGGAATCTCTCTTCGGTCGGCCCATTGTTGGCCATTGTTCGACGGTGTACACTGTGAGCTTTTAATGGTCAATAGGTTCGGGCCGCGGCGGGGAGATTCCGCCGATAGAGTGCTCGCGCATCGGAGACGCTGTGAGACGACAGCCACATTCAGTTTCGCTGACGGGCCACGATGCATCGCTGCCTCAGTGGGAAAGCGGTGACAATGCGGCGGGCTCATTAGGCCACCAAATGTAGATTCATTCCGAGATAGCGTTGTATCCACGGCGTTCCCTGGCATCGTTTTTAATGCTCATTACTTCGCAATTAGACCATTAAAAAGCTACCTATAGTTTTGACGGTTTAAATTCGCTTTCTTACTTGTCTTTTGATAAAAACACATTTGACATGCAGTTATTTCAGCCTTTAAAGATTCAGCATGGCTCATTCTATGACTATATTATGATTATGACATTCATGTGTTAGTCTGGTTATTTGAGTGACGTCTGTATAAAAAGATAAATGTAACATTGACGTTTCTAAATTAATGAAAGCTCATAAAGTTAAGTGCATCTTTGAAGATGTATTCACATCATTCGAACTCTAGATTTACTGTTTGCATTAACAATTATTTGTACCTTTTTTCTCAGAATTAACGTAGGTCCACAGGTCCGTAGGTCCACCATCCAAACTACATCCGTAAGGTAATGTAGAATACCAATAGGGGATGTAGAATACAAATTGAGACAAAAATAGATGATATCAATAATTTGTTTATACTGGAATGTAAGATAAGATAAGATACTCAGAGAACTCCTGAAAAGAAATTACAAAATGAATACAGAGCGAGATATTTGAAGTCGGTTTTGTTTTTCGTTAATAAAAAATTTACCTGTAGCATACAAATTTTCCAATTATAGGGAATATACATATGCAGACTCCGTCCAAGCAAGCATAACCTTGGGCATAGACTAGTGTACCGATACAATAAGAACATTAAACAAGGCACATCGAACTATCTACTTTCATAAGGTAGGTTGTTTCGAAAGTACAAATTTAGGACCTCTAATTGGATTTTTGGAGCTTTAGCAATACATAAAAATATCATTATAATAGTCTAGATTAGAATAGGCCCAACAATAAGGTCTTCCAGATCGAGGGCCAAATCCACGCGTCTCGGTCTACGGAGTGCAGTGTCGCAAAACGCGCCGTACGGGACCCTAAGGGCTCTACGGACGATAGCTCACGGCTCGCGAAATAATAATATAACCATCAATGAGACTCAAATTGAATCCAAACTCCGAGTAGGAGGTGAGGGGCGGGGGGGGCGATGTCGAGAGGGGGCAGCGGGGTCGTGGGGGGGGTTGAAGCGAATTGAAATATTTCAATTTACTTGTCGCCGGGAATTCGATTTAAATTACAATGAGAGGCGACGCGGCGTTGGAGGGAGGAGGAGGGGAGCGCAGTTCGCGGGCAGACGGGGGCGGGGGGGGGGGGGGAGGCTTAGGATCGTGTAATTATTAATGTATAACTGAATGTCTGCTCGTATCGGAAATTAAAAGCGATCGGCCGATACGGGGAGGATTCGAAGGCCACCATTGCCCCCTTTTAAGCAAAGGCGGCGGGCGGAATGCGTTTCATATGGGCCAGATTTAATTAAATGAGTCGAAGTTGTATTAACAGATAGTTTTTCCTTCATGCTTCAGCAAAGAAAAGATAACGATGGCGTAGTGCCCTGTTGCAGATGAATTGGTTTATGTGTATTTCGTAGAATGTCTAAGTACGGGTTACCTTTAATTTATAAGTGGTGACTAAAAGACCTAGAAGAAAAATATATAACGTTGCATTTTTTCCGCCATTTGCCCTTAAAAAGGTATTTATTTATTTTACTTATTTTATTTGCGGACTTCACACATCTTCGAAATATATATTTTTTGTTATTATTTGGAAAATATGCAGGTTTCCTCACGATGTTTTGCTTCACCGCGGAGCACGTGACAATTCAGCACTTCAAGATAAAAACTTCATTGGTGCCGGCACCGGGGATCGAACTCAGATTGCTCGAGTATATTGAATTAAAGGCGAGCGCCCGGACAAGATATTTAACAGCACCGTAACATTATGAGAGAGATGGTACCTATAAAACGTAAGACGAGCCAACGAATAACAAATAATAAAGAGATGAAAAATCCAGTTAGCGCTCGTATTTGAGACACACAAATACGACAAGGTACAATAATGGTCCAAACATGAGCTCCCTTACTTCGCCAACAGATACAGGTGTGAAGAGGCGCCCGAGGGGGCTGGAGGGGTGGAGCGGTGGGGGGCGGCTTAAATGAGAATTCCGCTGCCACCATCAATTCGCGAAATGTTCACATTTCGCAAACGTCTCAACTTAGCCATGGTGAAGAGAACTTTCCCTATCGATACATCTACACTGACGCACTAAAATATTTATTTTTGCGGACACATTTCTACACAACGTCTTCTAGTCCCAAACTAAGCTACGCTTGTTTCATACTTTTACAACATACTTTTCTTTTGTAAATAAATACATATTATACTTACATATATTAACATCTAGACACTAGAGAAACACTTTGTTCATCACACGATATTTTTCCTGCAGTGGGGATCGAACCCACACCCTCTAGCGCAAGAGGCAGGTTTACGACTCCCCACGCCAATTATCGTCAAAGTGTTCCAAGACCTAGAAGTTATGAAAGTGAACATTTGGCAACATTCCTTAAGTAGAAAGTATGTATTTCAGTGTGTAAGTCGAATTTGTTAATATTTTTTATATGTTTTCTGCTTGGAAGAGCCACGCAGCAACTTGTGCTGTTGCACGAATGGGCAGCCTTCTCCGGGGAAGTACCATCCAGGCTCCAGTAGTACAGAAGGCCGGTGTCGGTACAAATATTATTGCGTTTCGTATGGTAAGTGAAGCAACCAGGGGCCAAACGAAGGCAACGCCACAGGCGACAACAGGTCCATTGGCAGCGGTTATCACTTAACATCAGGTGAACCGCCTGCTCGCTTGCCAACCTTTCACACAAACAATATTCGACACAACGAGATGAAATGTGATTGCACTAATACATGACATTGTAAACAAAAATTATTTTAGGGGTTTTATTCATTTCAATTTGTTTTTAAGGGCTCGACTCTACCGTTTCACGAAATATGGATAAAATCCATAAAATAGTTTGCGTTAAAAGCAAAATTCGTTATTTAGTTTGTGTTTCTAAATATTTATTTCTTTATTTATACTTCATTGTCACACCTTAGGCTAAAGGCTACAATGGGCGGACTTAATGCCTGATGGCATTCACTACCAGTCATCCCTTGTCACGGTGAGAAGTAGATGGCAAATATTGTAAATAAAATTTAACATCGATATTTTAGTCGTGCGTCGAAACTGGCGTTTGACATCTCTACGCGAAGCGTGGGAGCGGCCGCATATCTTCGCAAAGCGTTAAAATGAAATGTTCGCAATTTGAATATCGTCCGTGTCAAGCCAACACCCCCACCGCCACCGCACCGCCCCCGCGGCCCCCGCAGCTCCATGCCGCCCCCGCACCCCCACAGCGGCCCAGCCCTGAAGAATTCCTGTCGTCGATCTAATGGCTAAACAGTTTGCAGTCACTTTGGATTCCTTAATATGTTGGGTACATAATAAATTTGTCCCACTGCTGGGCAAAGGTCCCTTCTGGACAGAAAGTGTATCATTTTTATATAAAATTTTCATGAAAGGAGTAGTATAATTATCTAGAATATTAAATGAAACTGTTTCTTTTGTTTCCTAACTTTAAATTATTTGCATTTAAAATTAAAATAATTTATGCAGATTTTATTCGAATTACATTCGCAGTTGCATAATAATAAGCATAATGCAAACTTCGTTCCTGAAAGGGCTTCTCCGACCGCACATGTTTTCTTTTATTTTTCTTGTCATCAATGCTACATAACTCCGCTCGATAAACGTTTTTTTACAACACAGAATTTCCTTCGCTGCTAGCAACCAATAAAGTGTCAGAACGTCCAAAAAAGCATGGACTTTTGAATAAAAACATCATGAAACGGGGTTTAATCTCTGCGACATTACGTAAACATTAGAAACTTAATAGCGGATACCGCTTCTCAATGGCTCATACCAAAAGTTTCCTCCAATTCTTGCACGAACTTAAACCACTCTTTCAAAATTGTACCTTGTTCATCGGAGTGGATTCGCAACTCGCTTTTTATCACAGCTATAAGTGCGATAAACGAGCCATTAGTACCCACCGTCTACTTTATAAAGTTTAAAAAAAACTTAGGCCAAGAAGTAAATCGTGTGTCACAGGACGTTGTGCAAAACTCAGAACCTAAACCAATTCATAAGGCTGGAGCAATGCGGGAGTTTTTACTTATTTATCACATTGCAATGACAATTTCGATCTCACGGTGGTAAATTCGTGGATTTCGGGCATTAAATTAAAAAAAAGGACTTAAAGGTTGAACACGGCAATTAAACTAGTTAACTGCTAATCAAAAGCTGATAAAGACTTTAAGTGTGACTGTAATTAGCCACAATGAAAGTCCTAACTAAACCCAATAAAACGAATGCGAGACGGCCGTCTCAACTAATAAAATTATGACAGGATATTATTTTGGAATCGTGTTTGTATTAATTTTATAGCAAAAGGAATGGACTGAACAGAAATAGTCTTCTTCAGAGGCAGTAAATAGGAATGGTGGTCACTGGTGAGGAAAAGCTATCACCAAAGCTTCTTCTATGTCTTATCTGACGATATTAACAGTTGGTGCTCAAAGCAAGGAAAATAATTACAATACCTTAATATAGGAGCATTATAGTATATTTTGGGACACTCAAGTATAGTATACTCAGTATACCTATGGAGTTATCGCTGCTTGTGCTTAAAATGTTTATTAAAGTGAAGAGTAAAGTAAAGTAAAATCTATATATGTCCCACTGCTGAGCAAAGGCCTCTCTACAGAGGGTATCAGGGCGTAGTCCGCCGCGACCCCACTGCGATTGGCGGACTTCATATATATTATTATTTCGAAAATATACAGGTTTCCTCACGACGTTTTCCTTCACCGCTGAACACGTGATAAGTCGGCACTTAACATTAACAATTTCATTGGTGCCGGCACCGGGGATCGAACTCACGTTGCTCGAGTATATTGAATTAAAGGCGAGCGCCAGACACTGAGCTATCACGGCTTATTATTTATTAAACCAAGTGTAATTAAATTAAATGGCAAGCGTATGAATGTTACCGCCTACTTCCATGCTACTTAAAGTATTTTCTTACGGGAGAAGGTTGCACCAGGACAGTTAATCTGATAGGAGTGATATCGCCTGAAAAAACACAGATGGCTTTCATGTATGAGACAGAATGAAAGAATGTTGACGTAGGAGTAAGCGGTTTCTCATCCATAGACAAGTACGAAATGGTACATGAATGTAAGCTGTGTCTATGCATAAGTGCAATCAAGGATGTGCACCAATCAAGGCTGCTGCACGAATGGGCAGGCTCGTCCGGGTAAGTACCATGACCTCACAGGAGACCGGCGTTAAGTGGAAGTATAATACTTTCGCCTTTTGTCTGGTGAGTGAGATAGCCAGAGCCCAATTTTCAAATTTGTTTTGGTCGCGGAGGGTTTGCAAAGAGAAGACCTTTGGGGGGGGGGGGGGTGACGGGCGTGGGGGGGGGGGGGGGGGTGTGCGGCGTCGAGAAGAAACTTGTATCCTCCGCTCGCCCCTAATGAAGTGGGCCCCACCCCCGTTGGGGCGTCGGCAACAGTTTCGCGCCACGCCATTGGCCGCAACAGTGTTGCCACCGAGTTGCAACTTGGCGCACGCCCACTCAGCAGAGGTGGGTCTGCCTCGACGAAGTGCCATCAAGTGCAAGTTCTAGCGTATCCGTCAGCTTTGCCCACTCGTTTAGTGCAGCCGACGTAGAGTACGATACTGTTAATAACAAACTGGTTTATTGGTGGACGTAGCTCCGTAGTTCTACTACTATTAGCTATTATTTTTTTCTATTTCATCCGTTACACGAGCAACTACTCGGCTCTTAACTAACGTTTATTCGGATACCTAGTACCTGCAGAAGGTAAAAGTTAGTTTGGGCTAGACATTGTTGTGTAAAGCAATTATTTTTAATCGCGCCTAAAGAAATTTTACTTCGAACAATCCTCACCATGCCTGTTTCAATACCTATGTGCCCACCCCACCTAGGTGATGAAGATTCTTTAAATGTTTCTTTGATTTTATGTTACATTATCTCAAGTTACATTCGATGACTTAAAAATTTCGCGTTTGCGTTGCGAGTTTGATTGCCACACGGACAAAGTGAACCAAACACAGTGGGGGCGAGTCTCATTTTAATTTGTTCGTGATTTTGCGTTTCTATAAGCGCATTTATAATTAAAATAAAATAATATCGTTTGATGAATTTACTATGAAAATGTCATGTTCTTAGTAAATTGAAACTTTTACTTCGCTGCACCCTAACCTCGATGAAATAATTGAACTAACTCTCCTTAATTTTATTACGATTATTTATTTTAACTCTGTTGTACGAAACGACGAAAAGATAAAGTCGTGATTAGCGGTGAATTGAAAGCATTCGAAATCTAAGGACATCGTGGCAATCAATCAAAGAATTTCAGTAAACTTTTCAGTAAAACGACATGAACTGGACGACACACTTTCTTTTGAACCCTCCCCTGTGACAGCAAAAATGGCTCAATACAATTTAAAATTAAACTCCGACACATAAACTGGCATGCAAGCACTGGTCATTATACAACGTTGGTGAAATATATGTGTGTGTATATATGTATGTATATCATATAAATATATATTTTACATATATATATTTAAATTATTTATTTAAATTCTAATAGGCATCCAGATTGTCCGTGACTCACTTTCGTAGGCGTCAGCTGAAAATCAGCGCTACCTCAACCATAGCATTATGCTGAGCTGACTACCTTTTGGTCGTCTCATACACCGACTTTGTATTTATTTTCATTATTCGATATTAGGAAAATTATTAATTGTATTTATATGTAAATTAGTTATTTTGTTCTCTTTTTTTTTTTAAACGGTGTTTGTGTACGATCAATAAAGATTTTCTATTCTATTCTATTCTATTAAACATCGCCTTTTAGTCGTGTAAACTAATGAAAGCTTTGAATGTGGATAACATGCCAATAATTATTCAATTAAGAAAAGTTGAAGTTAAGAACCGTTTTTCCCCATTTACCAGCTCCTTTCTTTCTCCTCTCTTCATTGCGCAGTGAATTATCTCCAATGAATAAACCCATTTTAAGTTGCACGATGAGGCAATAACAATCTTGTCAAATTTTTATATTCCCTGCACATAAGATCAAACATTTTATAGACAACAATTTATTACTTTATCAATACAATCAATTTATACAAAAAAAAAAGACGGAAAGGTTTCTCACCGCCAATGTGGGAATCGAGCTCACGTTTTCCGCACTCGCGCAGAGATTGACTCTATAAAAATTTAAATTTCACATACTTAGCAATGGCGACATCTCTTGTTAGAATTATCGTGTGAAACGATATTCGAATTCTTTCCATATTGGATATAACAATAAATGCGCCAAGCATTGCTTGAAATACGAAAAACCAATGTACATAAAAAAGTTGAGATTTTCGTCAATAGCTTAGCGCGAATCTGGCAGATATGGGTTCGTTTCCGTCCTTTTTTCTACAAATTATAAGATAACAATCTGCTCAACATTTCTATTTCTTCTTGTTTGATATTTATCACCGAAAACAAGTAAAACTCGGGTGGACTCGGAGGCGCTGTTGCTAAGCTATGGCCTGCGGCGTCGAATTGTGCTTTCGATTCCCACACGAGACATGTAGTTGTGAGCCCCCGGTAATATTTTCTTAATAAAAACACAAAATTCTCGCCCTTCCGCGAAACAGCAGACAGACTTCGACCGCAAATTGAAATAAATGTTTCTCGACATAAAGAGAAATATAAACCGACCAAGTGCGAATCAGACTCACGCACGGTTCCGTACCATCCTTACTAATATTATAAAGGCGAAAGTTTGTATGTATGGATGGATGTTTGTTACTCTTTCACGCAAATACTACTGAATGGATTTTAATTAAACTTTACTATAATATAGCTTATACATCAGAATAACATCTAGGCTATAATTTATGAACATATGTTATGTATGTCTTTCTGTCTGAATTTTACGGCTTCAGTCTATTCCACGCAGACGTAGTCTGGTTCAGCAGCTAGTTATCTATAAGAAAGGCAAAAAAAATCATGTCTGTCGTATGAACCTCTTCAATATTTTTTATTCTGTTTTTTAGTATTTGTTGTTATAGCGCCAACAGAAATACATCATCTGTGAAAATTTCAACTGTCTAACTATCACGGTTCCTGAGATATAGCCTGGTGACAGACAGATAGACAGTGGAGTCTTAGTAATAGGGTCCCGTTTTGCCCTTTGGGTACGGAACCCTAAAAACGATACAAAACTAAAATAAACGTGGCATACCTTTGACATCTTAAGATACTCTGACTCTTTGTGAAAGCTTACGACACACAACT